TTTCAGTCAAAAGCTATGGACTTACCTGATCAAGAAGAAAAGTGAAGTGATCTAAGTATTTACCAGGTTTAAGTCTATGGTCGAAAGATAAAGTGGTCGAAAGCTCAAAGTTTTGAGAACTGATGGTGGTGGAGAATATGTGTCGAAAGACTTCGACAGATTATGTGAAAAGGAAGGGATTGTGCATGAGGTGGTGCCACCCTATACTCCACAACAAAATGGAATTGCAGAAAGGAAAAATTGAACCATCATGAATATGGTGATAAGTATGTTGAAAGGCAAGAGTTCACCTAAAGAGTTTTGGGATGAAGCTGTTTCGACTGCAACATACATTTTGAACAGATGTCCTACAAAGAATCTAGAAGGAATTACTCCATAAGAATGTTGGTCTGGTGTGAAGCCTAACTTGAGTCATCTGAAGGTATTTGGATCTATTGCACATAGACATGTGCCAGATCAGTTGAGAAGAAAACTTGATGACAAGTCAAGTCAAATGATCCTAGTTGGATATCATTCGACAGGAGGCTACAAGTTGTTCGATCCAGAGAACAAGAAGATTGTGATCAGCAGGGACGTGATCATAAATGAGTTTAAAGAATGGGATTGGACTGTAAATGTCAAGAAAGATTCAGTGGGAATCCTATTCGAAGAGCCAGAAACTCAAGTCAAAAGAGAAGTTCGACAAGAGGAACCAGCAGATATACCAAGTACAAGCAGACCTCAAAGAACAAGATGCATGCCTGCAAGATTGCAAGATTGTATGATTACATCAGATGATATAATAGATAATGAAGGTGAGCTGGTACATTATGCTTTCTATGCAGATGTCGAACCTGTTAATGCAGCTGAAGCATTAAAAGATTCGAAGTGGGTGAAAGCAATGAACGAAGAAGTAAAGTCTATCGAAGACAACAACACTTGGTCACTTGTCGAATTGCCTCAAGGCAAGAAGGCAATTGATGTCAAGTGGGTATACAAAGTGAAAACGAATTCGAAAGGTGAAGTAACTCGACACAAAGCAAGACTTGTGGCGAAAGGATTTCTACAGAAAGAAGGAATAGACTTCGACGGAGTTTTTGCACCTGTTGTTAGGATCGAAACAATCAGGTTGGTTGCTGGTCTAGCAGAAATAAACAGTTGGCACATATGTCAGATGGACGTGAAGTGTGCATTCCTAAATGGACCCTTAGATGAAGAAGTCTATGTTAAACAATCAGTTGGGTTTGTGAAATATGACGAAGAAAGAAAGGTGTACAGGCTACATAAAGCCTTGTATGGATTGAAACAAGCTCCAAGGGCTTGGAATAAGAAAATTGACAGTTTTCTAAGGGAGAAGGAATTTTGAAGTGCACAACTGAACATGGAGTATATGTAAGAAGAAGCAAGAGTAAATTGCTTATACTATGTCTCTATGTAGATGATTTGTTGATAACAGGTAGCTGTAAAAGTTAGATCGAAGACTTCAAAGGTGATCTCAACAAGGAATTCGAAATGTCTGATTTGGGTGAGACTTCATATTTCCTTGGTATCGAATTCTACAAGAGCAGTAGAGGTTTGATGATGCATCAAAGAAGATATGCAGGAGAAATTATCAAGAGGTTTGAGATGGAAGAATGCAACTCAACTTCGACACCCGCAGAACCAAGACTGCAACTGTCGAAAGATGCAAATAAAGATGATGTTGATCCAACCCAATACAGAAGACTTATTGGATCATTAAGATATCTTTGTCATACAAGGCCTGACTTAGCATACAGCGTAGGTATGGTAAGTAGATTCATGCAGAAGCCAAAGGTATCACATCTAGCAGCAGTGAAGAAGATACTAAGGTATCTCAAAGGAACTTTCGATTATGGAATTTTATTTCCTGCAGTTGATAAAGGAAAAGAATGCAAGTTAGTGGGATACACTGATTCGAGTTGGTGTAGTGATGCTAAAGATCGAAAGTCAACAGCATGACATGTGTTTATGCTAGGTGGTGCACCAATTGCTTGGAATTCGAGAAAAGAACCAGTAGTGGCATTATCATCATGCGAAGCAGAATACATAGTTGCTTCCCTTTGTGCATGTCAAGCAACCTGGATGGTGAACTTGGTCGAAGAGATAACAGGGAAAGATCATGGAGCAATTACCATGAAGATAGACAGCATGTCAGCGATTAATCTGGAAAAGAACCCAATAGCACATGGTCGAAGTAAGCACATCGAAATGAGGTTCCATTATCTTCGAGAGCAGGTAGCAGATGGGAAGATGAATTTGGAACACTGCAGAACTGAGAATCAGATTGCAGACATCATGACGAAGGGAGTGCAAGTCGAAGTATTCAGAAAGCTAAGGGCCATGATGAACATAGACAGTTTAGACACAATGAATTAGGTGGTGTGTTAAATTGTAATTCATATGTGTCAAAGAAGATTTGATTTGTTTTAGATTTAAATAGATTTGATTTAAGTCTAGAATAGATTTGATTAGATTTGATTTAGTAACAAAAAGATATTTTGGGCTTTGGGCTTAGGGTGTAAGCTCAGTTATAAATAGAGGGAGTAACCCCTATTTTTCAAAGCAAGTCAAGAAAGTCAAGCAAGACAATTCATTGTAATCACAGAATTTGCAGTTGCAAGTGATTAAGAAAGTTTTTCCACAGTTTGTGGGCAGAGAGAAACTCTGCAGAAATATTTATCTTGTCTTCTTTTATTTGTTTTTCTCATAACTAATCATCATTATTGGTCGAAATTCATCATAGAATTTGGTGGATTTCCATGTCAAGGACTGTTCGATTCTTTCTTTCCGCCACACCATTTTGTTGAGGTGAGTATGCTGCAGTCAGAAATCTCATTATGCCTTGTTGTTCACAATACTTCATAAATGTTATCGAAGTATACTCCTCACCTCTGTCTCATCGAAGAGCTTAGATGTGCTTGTCTGTTTCTTTCTCCACCATTATCTTAAACTTCTTGAATACTTTGAAGGCTTCTGACTTTTCTTTTAGAAAATACACCCAAGTTTTCCTTGAGAAATCATCAATAAAGGATATAAAAATACTTTTTTCCACTGAATGATTCTGGGGTAATTGGTCCACATATGTCAGTGTGAATCAATTCTAGAATTTGTTTGGCCTGATATTCTGCTTTTGATTGAAATGAGGTTCTCGTCTGTTTGCCAAACACACATTCTTAACAAAACTTTCCTTCGAATTCTACGTTTGACATTCCATGCACCATATTTTTCTTTGCTAACCTCCTTAGTCCAGCTTGATGTAGATGACCAAAACGTAGATGCCAAAGGGATGCTTGGTCTTCGACATTGACTTGTAAACACTTTTCTCGAATGCTTCTCAAGTTTGACTCGTACATTCGATTTCTCCCCATTTCGACTTGAGCAACCAGGCATCCTGACTTGTCTTTTAAGTACAAGCTTCGATCTTCCATGATAATCGAATAGCCATTTTTTGTGAGTTGTCCCAGACTCAAAATATTGGCTTTGAGGTTTGGTACATAATACACATATTGGATTGATCCTATCAAATCATCCTTCTGCAAGAAACTAATTGTTCCTTTTCCTTCGACCCTTACTTTCGACGCATCTCCAAAGGAAACATGACCATCCTCAAATTTCTTTATTTCTTTGAACAAGTGCTTATGACCATACATATGGTTGCTTCCTCCTGAGTCCAGGTACCACATAGTGTCATTTTCTGCATTTGCTTCCTTTTGAGTCATTAACAGAAATCTTTCATTTGATTATGTTTCTAGGGCAAGATTTTTTGTTTCTTCTATCTTCTGAGTCGATAATATTTTGCAAGATGTCCTATTTTACCACAGTTGTAGCAATTTTAGGAGTTGCAATCTTTCGCATACCGCCCCTGTTTGTTACATTTGTAACATTCGATATTGTTGTAATTCGACCTACCACCTCTCTGGCCACGTCCTCTGCCACGCCAGTTTTATTGGCTTGACTGTCCTATGTCGATGTTGTTATTTTGGTAACTTCGACCACCGTTACGTCCTCCACGACCATGTCCTCTCTCACACTAATTTTGAGAGAAAAGTTCCTTTTCGTCTCTGTTGGGTTCTGCATCCTCAAGTGCCTCCTCCTTCTTCTTTATTTTGCGCTGTTCATGTGCCTCAAGCGAACCAACCACTTCTTGGATAGTGATTGTCGAAAGATCCTTCACCTCTTGTATTGCGCATACTATGTTTTCGAAATTGTCTGTCAAAGATCTCAAAATCTTTTTGACAATACGAGCATCAGTCATAGCTTCTCCATTTCGATTGAGTTGATTTGCCACCATCTGCACACAGTGATGTAGTCCGATACAGACTCTTTCTCCTTCATCTTCATTCTCTCCATTTTTCCTCGAATAGTCTGCAATCGAACTTGCTTGACTCTATCTTCTCCTTTGAACATCTTTTCTAGAGTGTCCCACGCCTCCTTCGATGTAGTCGAACCAACAATCTTTTCGAAAACCGATTCGCCGACTGCTCTGAACAGCATGTACAATGCTGTTTTATCCTTTGCCCGCGTTTCTTTTAACGCCTTGGTTTGAGCAGTTGTGTTTGTCGTTGTATTTGATGGTTCTTCAAACCCATCATTAGTTACTTCCCATACATCTAACGATCCCAACAGTGCCTTCATTTGGATACTCTAGTTCTCATAATTCGATTTTGATAGTTGTGACAGTGGCATTTGACCCATCATATTTGCCATGCGCGCTGATATCAATTTGAAGAAATTGAAGAGAAATGGGAGTGGAATTTGAACTTTCTTTCTTTATAAAATTGTCCAACTAACTTTCAATATGAGTACAAAGTGATTTATATGGGATCACAATATGGAATATTAAGAGTTATAGCAATAACTATTTCTAGTCCTCTAAAGGAATAAACTTCCCACTGTCCAAGAGAATCTGTCTTTTACATTACCCAAAACTGATTTGAATTTAACCAACATAAATTAGTTACAATCTGCACGGCTTTTGTTGTATCTCTTCTTCTTGTTCTTCATTGCAAATTTGGTAAACACTTGTTTACTACAGCATTTAGATCCCAAGTCTCATTTCCAATCTCAAAATCCCACAATTGAGGCTCTATTATTTGCATCTCTCTCACAGATCCTTTCACAAACCTTTTCAATCTCTCACCTACATTAGTGGCTCCAAATTGAAACAATGATTGCAGATTCTACAGAAAAGTAATTATCAAAGAAAACAAATCAATGTTGAGAGGCTAACTGATTCATTGCCTTTGCAAAACATTATCAAAATAAAGACTAAAGAATATGCACGTGTTCTTCAACGGTTAATATAACCACAATATATAAAAGTTTGCAGTGTTGTCACAACCCTAGTTTAAGGTCATAGAAACATGTATTTATACCTCTGCATGCACAACATGAATAACCGAATCTCCTACCAATGAAGAATTTGCAGAGATGACCTCAACGTGATCTTCATGCAGTATTCTTAGAATTTCATAGAAAATGAACTTATCATCAACCCCACATGTTACAATGACTTGTAACGAAGAACCATTTTCATGGATCTCAATATTTGGTGATTTTATGCTTCCTTTTGCTCCAGAAGAACTCGAACAGCCACTACGTGATCTCTTCCTTCTCATTAAACTTTCTTTTTTCTCCTTCGCCAATTTCAAATCTGTCTTTAAACTATTTATGTAGTTTATAGCATCGTCTATTTGATCAGGTAGTGGTAAAGCTTCCTACATTAAATGAAATTGAAAAATAACACCAAATTATAAAGTATTTTCTAACAATATTATAATACATTAGGAATGTTTTCAAGAAGAATGATGCACCTTGGGATTGTAGTTAGGAAGAAGAGAGTTGAGTTTGGAATAGAGACTCTTCATCTTATTTCTCCTATTTTTTTCAATAATCTTTCTTTCTACTTTTGTTGATGAAGAAGGTTGACCTGCTTGTTGATTCGGATCCATTGGAAAACAATCCTGAATTTTTCTTCGGATTATTGTGATTTGAAAGTTTAGTGAATTGTGTCTGTATTTATATAGTAGACATTTTGGTAATTGATTGATTGATACAAAGAGTAAGGTGAGTGTGAAGACAACTATGTCACCTATTTTACATCACACACGTGCCTTCACTGTTTTGTTTTTAGATCGGACATATACATATTCGTTATGACATGCATATTCTCACACGTGCCTTCACTATTTTGTTGTCATAAATTTCAAAACATGTGATCAATTTGTCAAATATTGCGTCCACCTCGATCTCCAGCTTCAACTGAATTTTAGGAATGTCAACAGGCTGGGAAAAGGAATAAGAATATTTCCATTTTCCGAATAAAAGAGTTTTATTATTATAATTTTTTTATTCTTAAATATTTAATATATACTGTGTTGAAAAGAATTTAACAACAATATTAAATATGTTTGAAGGGTTCAATAACATTAAAAATTTTAATGCGTTAGACAAAGAAAAATGATAATCAATCAAATAGTTTCAGCAAAATAAAAATATAAAAGAAAATATTGATAATGCAAAGAAATTGTTTACTCACTTCGATCAAATTGATTTACTATGAAGGAGTGACTTGATAAAATAGAAGTCAAAAAGAGAATGATAAGCAGAGGACGCCGAGAAAGTAGCATCATTGGCAAGCTTCTAAAGCCGTCTATCCCTGTCCAAAAAAAAAAAGCCTTCGAATGACTAAGACAAATTCAACAACAACATGTTCCTCATGGATGAAGAAATGCCTCATCCACCAGATGTCTCAAATGGGGTCTCGTTTACCCTCCTTTCAACCTCTCTAACAACCCCTTTGGAATAACCAGTGATCATAAACAACCTAGGGAACCAATCTTTAAGGGGAATACCCATAACAATAACACGAATCTTGATTACATCAGAAGATGCCATCCTAGTCGCCACGGTCTTAGCAATCCACTTGGAATTGGCTGAATTATTATTCAATACCCTACCGCACGTGTGAGCACCAACCCATCTCTTCATTCTATGCGTGTGCTTATTCCCAATCTTACTAACAATTACCAAAAACCCACATTTTCACTTGCAAACTACCATTACTCGAACTTTGTCATTATTCACATACTTTATCTCTCTACCATTTAATACTGACCATTTAGTAATTTCCTCCTTAAATTCATCAAGTGATACAAACTCCAACCCCACTTTAAACTTGTAATTCTTGTCCAACTCCTCCATCTTAATCCTAGGATACTTTGATTTGTTCTCTTGATCTAAGGCATCAAGATCACTAGTACCAAGCTCATCACTAGAATAATTAGTTAGTATTTCATCGTTAACAACAGTAGATGAACCTACATTATCATCAACAATTCCTAATTTCCTTGGAGTACTCTTATGCTTCTTTACTATTTGTTTAACCCATTTTCTTTTTCCCTCAGATTGTTTTTCAACTAAATCAAATTCATCATCCAACCCAGAAGCCATTTCATCCTCATCAAATGATATACCATTAGCTTCAAAGTCAATATTATCACTATCATCACTGTCATCAATATCCTCGTGTTCATCTTCTTCAACAATAATATTATAATCAGCATTAACATTGTCCTAAACACTAACACCATCATCAACATCAACAGTAACATTATCAGCTCCAGTAACATTGTCTTCAACATTATAATCACCATGTTCCTAACAGATGTCAAGCCTGATATCCCAACACCAAAACACAATATCAAGACAAATGTTATGACATCATCTACCTGATTCAACAATTTCCAGAAGATGAATTATGAAGAAAAATAAATCGTTGAAGATAAAATAACACTTTTGATTGTTAATCCAGTTCAGTGTAATGTCACCTTCTAGGGGGACTACCAAGCCAGGAAGAAAAATTACTATGATAATATTAGTTCAATACTAAATAACCCTAGTTTACAAATTATCACCTAATCACCATATCTTTCTCTAAACTTAACCATTTTAGATGATTCTTGAATGAAAAATGAAAAGAAAACTTCAATCTTCAACTTTTATGTTGCCAATTTTTTTGATTTGAGTCCAAATGGTCATTCAAAAATGGACATGAAGAAGGCAGATTTTTGCATTTTTATCCAAAATTTCACTAAGTGTCCAAAACTTCCAAGCTTCATAACTTTTTTTCATTTAATTTTTGGACTTGTGGCCTCTCCTACAAAGTTGTATAATTTTTCATCCTCTTTCTAGGCATATAGAGTTTGCACATTTTCAATAAAAATTGAGAAAGTTATAGCCAATCAAAATTCAACCCTATGAATACTTTGAAAAATTCCAAAACTTCAAATAACTTCCTTGGCAAGTTATCTCCAATTCACACTTCCTCTTGATATTTTTGCCACTATTGACCATGAAATCTGAGAATAGGAATATTGAATTGATAGTTGACCAAAATTCCACTTGGTCAACAACTGATTTTGACTGTCTTCCGACAAAATGACCATTTTACCCTTTTCATCAATTGAACCTTTTCAAACCAAAGTTGATGATCAAACTTCCAATGATAGAGGCTCATGACCATGTAGAGAAGTATGGGATCAAGTATTGCTAAAAAATTCAAAGATCTCCTGATTAAAATCCAAGCCCTGGTTTTGATCCTCTATGTTAGGAGATGGTGAGATGAATGCAATTGTGCCATTACCTACAATATAATATTCCAAGAGACAAAATATACACATTTTGAGGTTAGTTAAAAGCATACAAGTACAAAGATATAAAGTTCAAGGTGCTTCAAGATGCTTGGTGATTCTCATAGGCAAACCTAAAGATAGGATGCAGTAGGAGAAGAACCCCAAACCCTAGTTTATGATCTGGTTACATTGTGATGGTATGAGATGATAGAAGAATCTTAGAGGCAAAAGTTGGGGTACAACAGTTTCCCTTATTTAAGTGTCTTCTATCCGGAGATACGAAGGTTAAAATCTTCATGTCAATGTGATCTAAGATACTTAAATATAAAACAAAACCTATTTTTGGCCCTAAGATGCCATGCAATGCTTATGATTATGAATGCATATGAACAAATTCAAAAGGATGCAAGACACCACGGGGGATGTAGGAAAGGAAACAAGGATCAAAAAAAGAAACCCGACTGGGAAAATGAATCACTAGTGAACAAAAGACCCGACTCTATTGGGGGGAGAGCCCAAAGAGGGGATAAGGTAGCATCAACTCAGACATTAAGGAGAGACAATAAAGGACAAAAGTGATCGACAAATAACTGTGAACTACCAACTCAACAGTTGAAGGTAGAAGATCAAAAAGATATTGACTCATAAATGACGGTAAACTACCAACTCAATAGTTGCAGGTAGAAGATCAAAAAGATACCGACTCACAGATGACGGTAAACTACCAACTCAATAGTTAAAGGTAGAAGATCAAAGGATACACCAACTTTCACTGAAGGTGAACTACCAACGTTCACTGAAGGTAGAAAAGAAAGATGACTCCAACATTCACTGAAGGTGAAACTACCAACGTTCACTAAAGGTATAAAGAAAAGAATAACACCAACATTCACTGAAGGTGAACTACCAACGTTCACTGAAGGTAGAGAGAGGGATCAATAACACCAACATTCACTGAAGGTGAACTACCAACGTTCACTGAAGGTAGAGAGAGGGATCAATAACACCAACATTCACTGAAGGTGAACTACCAACGTTCACTGAAGGTAGAGAGAGAGAGAAAAATAATACCGGTGTTCACTGAAGGGGAACTACCAACATTCACTGAAGGTAGAGATGAAAGAATAACACCAACGTTCACTGAAGGTGAACTACCAATGTTCATTGAAGGTAGAGCGAAAATATGACACCAACGTTCACTGAAGGTGAACTACCAACATTCACTGAAGGTAGAAAAAAACATATTGATAATAACAAGTTTCCTAAAACCATGGCATTTTACCTAGAATGGGTCTCAACTTCTTCTTTAACCAATGCATTCCGCCTGGAAAGGGTAATATATAAGATGTCTCAAATAAAGAGACTGGCACTTGTAAAGATTTCTCAACAAACTGTCTCTGTCATATTGAAAAGACTTGCCATCCATTGGAGTAATTTGACAATGAGCTACAAACTATCCACTCGTATAGAAGATAGCAAAAAAGTAACGCCGACCTTTACGGGGAAGTACAAGTTGCTCAAATAAAGAGACTAGTTACTTGCTGTTATGGGAAGGATTGTAAAAATGACTTCCTAGGGAATGAAATCTGCCTTCCTGGGGAAATGCCAACATACTCCTGTTGAGGAGGCAAAAGTCTTCTCGTGCCAAAATAAATGCACATTCTCAAACCAAGGCTCGGAGCTTGCGGAAATCTAAAGTAACAATATTGTTGGGAACCAAAGATTCAAACCAGAAATAAACTAGAATGAATTAGTCAACCAAAATACATCCTTTGAGAAAAAAACTCAAGAGGGAAACCCAATCTATCCAGACAAAGAGTTGTACAGGAAGGCTAAAGAAAAAATCTTCCACGAGGGATAACTCAGTGGGGAAATTGAAAGGATATACACTTTATGCTTAAGGTTGACACTCTATTGGAGAGAGGATAACATAACTCTACAACACAGGGTAATATGCCAACAGGAAATTAATGAATACAAATGAGTAATGATTTTCTAAATTCAACTATGCATGATGTATGTATGAATGTACGAATGTTGATAAAATAGACATATAACACCGGGGATAACCAGACAAAACCAACATGGGTACAATCAATACTCGGATAAATCACATCCAAGATGAAAATTTCATAAGAAAGTAAGCACCAACTGAGGAAACAAATTCCTGTTTCACGGCTTAACTTCATTGGGAATGAACATAATCCGAAAGTAATCACTTTAGGGCAATACATCTATACAGATATAGGGATATAACATCCTCCTCCAGGCTTCACTGGGGAATATCACACAGACTTCAATGGGGAAAACAAATGTTT